GGAAGTACGCTGATCGATGACTACTCTTCGGACGTCACCACTGGCGTAGCTAGTGGCGATGTCCGAAGAGCAGCCCTCGAGTATATGGACTTCATCCGCTGCACATGCGTAGGTATAGGCAAAAGCTCGTGTCGCTTGACATGAATGCATGGTTTTTGAAAGAAAGAAGAAGATACCTAATTTCTGTATGCCTAATTTGTGACAGGGCGCAGTGCCTTCCCTATTGCAAAAAATGGCATCCCCAGCTGATGTCAGTACCTTTTCTGGCACTCGTGAACGCTCGAGACACTAAAACGCACTGGAACTTGCGGGCACTTCGCTGGGCGCACGGGGAAATGGCTGTGTCGCACTAGTAGGGGCGCTGGCCTAACCGCTGTGATGCTAGTGCACACAAGTAATCACTGGAAGCGCTGCGGTTTTCACTGGCAAGCCCTGGTGAATACTGTAGCACGCACTGTTCTACCAGTGGAGCATGCACACTTATGTACTGCGTGCCATGGCATGTTTCGGTGTCATTGAACATAAAACGCTGGATTCGACAGGACGGACAGAAGATACCCTAACAGATAAGTAATTTTTGCTGGGCATGTTGTATCGCAACAATTAATGCAAGTTTTTCGCATGCCCCCCCCCCCCTGTATACCGGCCATATTCACATCAATCGTGTATTGCTGTAACGATTCAATGTTGTAGTGTTTATAAGCCTTGAGCTGGAGATCACTCCTAACAGAAACAGGAAATTGTTTATGCCGTCGAATTGACAAAACGTAAATGAGCTCTCTAGATCGCTTCGCAAGGTCTCCCAGTGGAGGTGAGAGAAACAGCTAATATCGTGCAAGAGACGCATGCGCTGTGTGTTCTAGTGCCGTCTTCCACCAACTGCTGACGTCAGCGCCAGCCTCTATAAAACCTAACAGCAGCTATCAATAAACGTTCTCTCTGTTCCTGCTTTAACTGAGTGATACACGGCGTCATAAGTGGGCCGACCGTTGGCCTACCGCGAAATGGCTTGAAGAAACGAAGAGGCATTACGCCACTAAGCTAAAAATGGAACTCCTCATTGATATGTGGGGTTTAACGTCCCAAAACCACGATATGATTATGAGAGACGCCGTAGTGGAGGGCTCCGGAAATTTTGACCACCTGGGGTTCTTTAACGTGCACCCAAATCTGAGCACACGGGCCTACAACATTTCCGCCTCCATCGGAAATGCAGCCGCCGCAGCCGGGATTCGAACCCGCGCCCTGCGGGTCAGCAGCCGAGTACCTTAGCCACTAGACCACCGCGGCGGGGCAAAAATGGAACTCCTCAAGCCACCCGATCAGCTGCTTCTGTCCGGGAACATCGCAAAAAAGTGGGCGTTGTTTAAGCAGAAGTTCGAGCTCTTCCTGAAAGCAACAGCGTCAACCAAAGAACCACGGACGGAGGCTGCGAAGACGGCGCTGCTCCTCAGTGTTGCTGGAGATGACGCGCTGGAGGTATTTAACAACTTCACTTTTACGTCGGAAGAAGACAAGTATGACTACGCAACAGTTGTGAGCAAATTTGAAGCATACTGTTAGGAGCAACAGAATGAAGTCTACGAGAGGTATGCGTTTCGTTCAAGGAGTCAAGCCGAAGGCGAACCTTTTCAACAATTCCTGCGCGACCTGAGGAAGTTAGCTCAGACTTGCAACTTCTCAACATTTAGTGACTCTATGATTTGTGATCAAATTCTATTTGGCAAGAATAATCCGAAGTCACGCGAAAAGATGCTCAAAGTTAAAGACCTCACGCTGCTCAAGGCAGAACAGATATGCAAAGCGGTCGAAGTGTCAGCTCACCAAAATGAAACCTAGGCTCAAGCAGATAAGCACGTAGCGGCCGTGAAACAGCGTCAATGCTTCACATGTGGTAGATGCAATCAAACGCATGACCATAACAAATGTCCGGCGTTCGGGAAGACATGTTTCGCGAAGCATGAGGGCCAATCACTTCGTGGCATGCTGCCGGAAAGAGCCTACTGTCGATGTGGTAGTACACGACGCGAACAACTTCGACATCCTCAATGTCAGAGTTTGCACCATTGAAAGGACAGCTGACTGGATGGTCGTAGCCAAAGTAGCCAACTAGAAGATTGTTTTGAAAGTAGACACTGGATCCCAGGCCAACTTGTTGCCGTATTCTGTCTTTCGCAAATTACAAGCAAATGGTGAGCTCCGTCCTTCAGTCATACAGTGGCGACGTCTATAAATACTTCGGTGTGGCCACCCTGCCAGTGGTCATGAATGACAAGTCTGGCACCTTTACCTTTTTCATAGTAAAGAAGAGCAAACAAGCGATACTTGTACTACACGCAACGGAGGGGCTGGAATAGTTGGTGCGTTCAATCGACACAGTGGATGGCCAAAGCTCTGACAAAGTGCTCCAAGAATTCCCGCATCTTTTCCAAGGTACCGGCTGTGTAGCCCGCCCATACAGGATGGTCTTGCGCGAAGATTCCATATCCGTGATACAGCCAGCACGACGCGGCCCCTTGGCACTCAAAGAACCACTGCGGGCGGAGCTGCAGCGCTTGAAAGGAGCCCACATCACTGAAAGGATCAGTGAACCAGCAGATTGGGTGAGTCCTCTCGTCATTGTCAGAAACAAAGATGGCAAACTGAGGGTTCGCATGGAACCTAGGAGCATTAACCAGTACCTGAAGCGCGAGCACTATCAGTTGCCGAAGGGAGATGACATCGAGGCAGAACTGGTGGGTGCTAAATATTTATCTCACCACGATGAAAACTCGGGTTTCCATCAGATTCCATTGGACCCGGCCACATCAAGCATCTGTACGTTAGCTACTCCCTTTGGGCATTACCGTTTCTTGAGACTGCCGTTTGGCATTGCGTCAGCGCCTGAAGTGTTTCAAAAAACGTTGAGTTCAATTTTTGATCGAGCACCAGGCGTGCGCGTGTATGTCGATGACACATACCTGGTAAGGGGCGCTACCCGGGAAGAACACGACGAGCGCCTTCGTGGGGCGCTAGATCTAGCAAAGTACGTGGGTCCGACATTTATTGCAGCCAAATGCAAGTTTGAAGGCAGAGGGGTTTAGTTCTTGGGTGACATCATCAGCCAAGACGCGATAAAGCCGAATTCCGCATTCAGTGCGTCAATAACAGAATTGTCGCGCCCGACTGATAAGCGGGCGGCTCAGCGAATGCTTTGTGTGGCAAATTACTTTGGCAAGTATATCCCGCCTCTTACAAGACAAAATTCTTGCGTGGTCTTATTAAAAAAAGGACACAATCTTCGAGTGGACAAAAAAGCACACCGCCGAGTGGGCATCTATCTGCACAGTTCTAAGCAGCACACCTGTACTAGCTATTTTTTATCCAGCCAGGAAAACGAAGATCAGCACGGACGCATTAAAAGATGGGCTAGGAGCTGCGCTGTTGCAGCGTCACGGAGATAGCTGGCGTCCTGTGGCCTACGCGTCGCGTGTCATGACTGACACGGAGCAGAGATACTCGCATAGAGAAAAAAACAATGGGAATAACATTTTGATGTGAAAAATTTCACTATTTCGTCTACGGTCGGAAACATTTTGTCGAGACAGATCACCGCCCAATTTTAGCAATTGCGTCGAAAGGAATCGGCGATATGCCACCACGGCTTCAACGTTTTTTTCTGTGCCTGTTGAAATATGATTATTCCCTTCACTTTGTTCCAGGAAAAGAGTTGCTGCTGGCCAACATGTTATCAAGGGCTCCCAAAAACCACGGGACATCGGGTCCTCCCAGGACGACGTAGAGATGCATGCAGTAGGTGTGATCATGGACATGGTGAACAGCAAAACACTGAGTCGGCTGGTTGAAGCCATTGAGAAAGATCCTGATCGCCAGCCAGTCATACGATTGATAAGAAAAGACTGTAGCTTGGTCGGACATGAAGCTATTAGCGGAAGAATTATCATTGGTAAAAGGCATTGTGCTAAAAGGAACTAGAGTAGTCATACCGAAATCGATGAGGGCGGACACGCTTCAACGGATACATGAGGGCCACTTGGGTTTAAATAGGACTAAAACAAGAGCTCGTCAGCTAGTCTTCTGGCCCGGACTCAACGCTGACAACGAAAGCATGCTCAAAGGTTATGCTGTCTGCAGGAAATATGCGTATCAACAACAACGGGATCCATTTCTTATGCGAGAAACGCCGCATTATGCTTGGTTCACGGTCGGCATTGACATTGTCCAGTATGCCGAGAGTTCTTACTTGTGCGTGTATGATGCCTTCTTCAACTCTCCCGAAGTTGAAAAGTAAACGACACCACATCTCGTACTGTTGTTGAGAAACTCAGTGGCATCTTTGCCCGTTACGGTATTCCATTGGAAGTCTGCCGCGACAACGGTCCCAGTTTGCCTCTCACGAATTTGCTGTTTTTGCATCCAGGTACGAGTTGCAACACATTACATCGAGCCCTGGATTTCCAGAGACGAATGGACTTGCTGAGAAGGGTGTTCAAGTCATGCTAAAAATTCTGTAAAAAACTAAAGAGATACAGCAGGACTTCTGGCTGGGACTGATATCCTACAGTGCGACGCCGCTGGAAGACAGTCGGTCGCCTGGTGAACTCCTGCAAGGCAGAAGCCTGCGTACACGACTTCCGGACTTCCGCCAGCAAAAGAAAACAACAGTCTACGAACGCAAGCCACGAAATACTAGTGCCAAATCTCTACCGGGCCTCCAGAAAGGACAATTGATGAGGGTCTATGACAAACACTGGACTCGCAAAGCGCAAGTAGTGGGACTTGCAGCGCCATGGTCATAAAGGGTGCTTATAGAAGATAACAAGCTGCTTCGCCGGAACCGCAAGCATCTAAGTTGTTTTGACCTTGTCACAGGTTGTTTTGACTTTGACACAGGTTTTGACTTTGACACAGGTTGTTTTGACCTTGTCAGCTTCTCTGCTGATTGCAACACCCTGCCCTGCCTCGTGCCTGTTTCTCGGTGCCGACACCGATACGGTACCAGCCTTCCCGGACGATTCTGCGCTCGCAGTCATCGAGGCATCGTCATTGCCCTTCACTTCTGCGCACAAGTGCACCGACTCCACAGCGACCCCTGGACCCAAAGACTACTTAAGGCTCCGGAAATCCTTCCCCGCTTTCAGTGGGCATGGGAGCAGCCACTGCGAAAGCATGGCTAACATGTTGATCTTCTTCGCCCCACAGGTTGTTTTGACCTTGTCAGCTTCTCGGCTGATTGCAACACCCTGCCCTGCCTCGTGCCTGTTTCTCGGTGCCGACACCGATACGGTACCAGCCTTCCCGGACGATTCTGCGCGCGGTCATCGAGGCATCGTCATTGCCCTTCACTTCTGCGCACAAGTGCACCGACTCCACAGCGACCCCTGGACCCAAAGACTACTTAAGGCTCCGGAAATCCTTCCCCGCTTTCAGTGGGCATGGGAGCAGCCACTGCGAAAGCATGGCTAACATGTTGATCTTCTTCGCCCCACAGGTGTGTACATATACTCCACTGCATGCTAAAAAAAGTGACAATCGTTTCTTAGTCGTGCTCCCATGCCCACGTGAGCTGTGTATTATCTTGAAAGAATGCTTAGATGTGAGTTTGCTGTTGCTTTGTTCTGGCGACGTAGAAACTAACCCTGGCCCCCCTACTCTTCGCAGTTCCAGCGCAGACATAGGTGAAGAACAAACTTCTGTACATAGTGCCGCCATACTTGAATTACTCAAAGGTATCAACGAACGAACAATTCATCTAACTGAGAGCCAAGCCAATCTAACCACGGATGTTAAAGCAATAAAAATAACCAGGAGACTATAAAAACTAGTCTCTCAGATATATTCACCCGCCTTGAAACCTTGGAGCATGAATCGAAAGCCTTAAATGCACTTCAGGAAGATATCGTGTCAATTAGGAGCTCCACCGCCCATCTGACGTCCCAACAAGAGATGTTTCAGACGCGATTGGATGACTTAGAGGATCGCTCCAGACGAAATAACGTCGTTATTCATGGTATATCAGATTCGAAAGAAACGTGGAACGATACGGAGGAGAAAGCACTTGCCGCGTTACACTCCGCACTTGGCGTCGAAATACCCCCCTCAGACGTTGAAAGAGCTCACCGTATAGGGACGCTATCTGCATCCAAACCCCGCCCCATTATTATGAAATTTTGTTCCTTTAAAACCCGAGATAAGGTATTATCAGCGCGCGCTAAACTTAAAGAATCCGGTATTTCGGTATCCGAAGACTTTTCGCCTGCGACTCGTGAGGCACGAAAGAAACTGTCTGCATTCGCTAAGGGTCTACCTGGATCCCCGAAATTCAAATTGCGCTACACGAAACTGTATGTCAACCAACAATGCTACGTATATGACTCTTTAACCGATACTGTAACAGAAACGAGTAACTTTCCCCACCCTGAAACGCATCAACGCAAAGCATCGCAAAACAACGGCCTAGACGCTACGCAAACAGCAAACCTAGAGACACGATAGGAAAACGCGAGGGGATGTGGGCGATTGCCGCCCCCGTCACGCTTATCTGTACTTCTTGCGAACGTCAGGAGTGTGCTTAATAAACTTGACTCTTTTAACTCTATTGTAGACACGTGCAGACCTAATGTTATCGCGTTAACCGAAACTTGGCTGAATAATAACATTCGGAACACGGAAATTTTTTACGATGCGTCCCACTACACAATTTACCGTTGTGACCGTACCCATCGCCAAGGCGGTGGCGTTATGCTTGCTGTTTTGAATGCACACGATTCTTACCAGGTTGCTGTTGAAACCGATATTGAAATTATCTTATCGTGTGTTTCTGGTATTCAAAAATGAATACCAGAAATTCATTTTTGCGGCATGTTATCGCCCCCCTAACGCCCCGCCAACTTTTACTGCCTCCTTACACGATGTTCTTAATACCGTAGTAACTCGCCTGCCAAGCGCCCCGATTTTTTTATTAGGTGACTTTAATTTTCCTCAAATTATGTGGTCCTCCGAATCGCCCATGTTTAATTCAAGTTCCTCACAAGTTAGCGACTTTCTGAACCTTTGCTCAACCTTCACCCTTACCCAACTAGTTACCCAGCCGACGAGAATAACAGACAGAACAGCAACGGTACTAGACCTCGTACTTACCTCACGCCCCGACTCTGTCTCGTGCATGACATATTTACCCGGTTTATCTGATAATTTATTCCTTTCTTTTGACATTTCAGTACCAGCTCTAGTAACACGTAAGACAACTAAGCAAATTCGTGATTATAAGAAAGCAAATTTCGATGCCATTAACACTGAACTGTCCACTTTTCTTGACATTTTTCTAGACAATTTTGACAATCGTACAGTTGAAGCTAACTGGAACTTATTCCTGCGAAAAGTCGACGAGCTAACCAACAAATACATCCCGCTTCGCAAAATCTCTTCGCATGCCAGAGCTCCATGGTACAATGCCTACTTAAAACGTCTATCAAACCGCAAGAAGCGCCTTTACCGTAAAGCGAAACTGCTGCCCACGAACGCTCGGTGGGTTGCATACAAAGTAGCCAACAATTCCTATGTATCCGCTGTCAAAAATGCAAAATCCAACTTTTTCCAGAGTACCTTACCTAGCCTGCTTCTAAACAATCCTCAAAGCTTTTGGCGTGTAATTAATCCAAGCACGACTGAGTCAATTAAACTGCTGGACCATAATGACGAATCCATTCCCGACAATGAGTGTCCGGTTGTCCTGAACAGGTTTTTTGTAGCAATTTTGTGGTTTCTTCCAGTACATCTATTCCTTCCCCAAAGCTGCACGATTATCCACTCATGAATTCAATTATTATTGACACTCGGGGAATTTCTAAAATAATACAGTCACTTAAGCCCTCTTCAAGCCCAGGTGTCGATCTTATAACTTCTAAATTTCTTCAAGGTACGGCCTCGTATTCTTCAATTCTTCTTACCAAACTTTTTCAACAATCCATTGACAGCGGGTCCCTACCCATCCAGTGGAAAATCGGTAAGGTGGTCGCCGTTCACAAATCAGGTAGCAAAGAATCTCCTTTAAATTACCGCCCTATATCCCTTACGAGCATTCCTTGTAAAGTCTTGGAGCATGTCTTGTACACAAGCATCGTAACGTTTCTCGAATCCAATTCATTTTTCACGGATGCACAACATGGTTTTCGAAAGGGATTTTCATGTGAAACCCAATTACTGTCTTTTACACACCAGCTTCACCGCATTCTTGACCGTCGTTCTAAAGCGGACTGTATTTTTTTAGATTTTGCAAAAGCCTTTGAGAAAGTGTCCCATAATCTCCTGCTCCTGAAACTTGGCAAACTTAACCTTGATCGTGATGTGTTCAAATGGCTTGAACACTTTTTGTGTGGCCGTACACAGTTTGTTGCAGCCAACTCATATAATTCCCCAGAATGTTCTGTTACTTCGGGCGTACCCCAAGGCTCAGTCCTGGGCCCCCTCTTATTTTTAATTTACATAAATGACCTCACTGATTGCGTTTCATCAAACATACACCTGTTTGCTGACGATTGTGTGATATTTCGTGAAATTAATGACACAAGCGATGTTAGTATTATACAAAACGACCTTAACGCTATTTCAAACTGGTGCAGTCTTTGGCTAATGAACCTTAATATTAAAAAGTGTAAAGTTTTACGCGTATGTCGAACTTCAACCACTCCCGCCTCGTACCATCTTAATAATGTTCTACTCGATGGTGTTTCATCCTACCGGTACTTAGGTGTGCACATTACTTCTTGCCTGACATGGTCCGTTCACATAAGCAACATTATTAACAATGCAAACCGTATGTTAGGCTTTCTTCGTCGCAATTTTTCTTCTTCACCTGCCTCTCTAAAACTACTGATGTATAAGAACTTGGTTAGAAGTAAATTAGAATATGCTGCTTCAGTTTGGGATCCCAGCATGGTTTATCTGATCAAAGCCCTCGAACTGGTCCAAAATAACTCTGCCCGGTTTATCCTACACGATTACGATCGAACAGCAAGCGTTAGAGCTATGAAAAACTCGTTGCAGCTGACTTCCCTTTCTTCTCGTCGTAAGTTTTTTCGCCTGTGCCTTTTTCATAAAATCTTCCATAATAGCCCCCACCTTCGTGCTAATCTTTTTCTTTCACCGTCCTACGTGTCCTCTCGCATCGATCATGCGCACAAAGTTGGTATACCTATATGCCAAACAATTACGTGTTCAGAATCTTTTGTCCCACGCACCAGCAAAGACTGGAACAAGCTTCCTGGAGCGACTGCTGCGATTACTGATTATCAGCTGTTTCGCGCTGCACTAACAAACATTGTAAACTGAGGTTACTTATTACGTGTGCCTTTTTCGTTTTTTCATGTTCTTGCGTGTTCTGATGTGTTTTGTAGCTAGAATTGTATACTAGGATTATTTAAAAGATGTACACCAGATCTCTTTTGTTCTACTTTTGTGTCCTAACTTTGTTACCAGCTAAAATTGATTATTTAGTAAACGTTGAATCCTGTACTCCCCTTTACTCACCTTCTGAATCCATTTTTTGTAAACCCACTCCCCTCTTCAATGCCTCTGGCCCTGAGGGTACAATAAATAAATAAATAAATAAATAAATAAGTGTGACGCTAGAGCCTTTACAGAGCAGCGCACTTGAAAGCGACGAGTCTGACAGCGAGTGCGAGCCCGTCAATGAGCATGAGCCCAGTCCTAGACAGCAGGTGCCTGCACCCTCTACATCCTCCACTGATGGACGGTATACACCGAGGTTGAGGCGCCCGAACAGAAACAGGAGGTCACCAAACAGGCTTCACTACGATCGCAACTTCGATCAAGTGAATGAGTGACATGTTTCAAAGAACTGATAAACAGGGGAAGATGTATCGTGCAAGAGACGCATGCGCTGTGCGTACTAGTGCCGTCTCCCACCAACTGCTGACGTCAGCGCCAGCCTCTATAAAACCTAACAGCAGCTATATATAAGCGTTCTTTTTGTCCCTGCTTTAGCTGACTGATATACAGCTGTCGTTCTATTCCGCCACACGGCATAAATGATTGTCTGGTCATACTTATCCTTGTACTTCAGTTACCAGTTCGAAATGTTCCGAAGCTCAAACGCCGAAACTTTAATCATCCCAACTCACCGCGTCGACAGTGGTCTTATTAGGTGCCCGGCCCAGCGAGCATTAGGACAATCGTGCTGGCTGCGTCGGTGTATATGTTACCGGCACTTCTTGCTTTGGTTACACACAATTTTAAAGTGTGAGAATAACTGTGAAGTATAGTGTAGACATCCATGAACATAAATAAACTATTTCGCCTTGTGTCGATGTCGGCACAAGAAGCGATGAGGATCGATGCGTCGCCCTTTCAGCTACGCAGGCTGTGACCAAAAGCTCGCGGCCACACATAGCCGGTGCTCCTCTGACTGATACGCAAGAACACGAAATTTCCAGTTAGTAATTTGGTACGCCTTCGTGGATTGACTCCTTGGCATATGTTATCAGCGAATTGCATCAGTATTAGTGTGAGTGGCCTTTTTAGTTATTGGTATTGATATCTGTACACTGGCACGCCCGCTGCGTACTGCCACCGGTGGCCAGAAAAGCAGCTGTCGCTCAATATCGCCACTCCGTAAATTCATGTCTGGCAATGATTGACCTTCTACTTACTACAGGTATAGTTTAGATAAAAGTTAGATAATTGTTGCGAAGCTCTAACGTTG